ATAAATGAATTTATTTACTTCAAACATAATGCTAAACATTTCATAACGAATTTAGTTAAAAAAAAAAAAAAACTGAACGTTAACATCAACTGACCAACTTCCATGGCTTCCGCTTTTCCTCAAGACGCTTATCTCCACCGCTTAATCTTCTTCGTTTTAGTTAAATTAATCCTAAAACTGATATTAATCAACACTTTTTTTAATTTAATTTTTCTAAAAACGACATGGTTTTGTTAACTTCCAACTGTTGAAGATAAACCAAAAATTGTTCAAAACATCAGGGACCTCCTGGCGGGCCCCACATGATCGGACGGTAGTCGTCAACTGCACCTATCTGAAACTGTAACACACTAGAACTTCCTATCCCTTTTTATTTTTACCTATATTTATACGCATCTGAAACTGTAATTTATTTAATTGAATTTAATTTTGACCCCCCCGCTTCTCCACAATTCAAAAACTTCTCGCTCTTGCTACAATCGCAAACTACCTTTCTGCGCTGCGCTACAATCTGCTTTCCGTCTGTATTGCTGCTGATCATGGATGATACCGCCAGTAGAAAGAGCGATCTTGAAATCGAGGGGTTTAGTCTCTTCGATGTCTCGTCCGAGGATGATTGCCTCCTCAATTCGCCTCATTTTGATCTCATCTCCAATCAATTTTCAGGTTCTTTATTTATTTATTCATTTATTAATTTTTGCTTCCTTTTTAACGAATGAATTGAGGTGATTATCCGTTTTCTTAGTTGATTTGAGCATTTATACTCCAAACTAGATTTCCTTGTTTCTCCATTGAATGAGTAGGTTTTTGTGTTTTTATTTTTTATTTTTTATTTTTTTTTGGTAGAAGGAACCTTATGTATTTTCTTCAGTTACCTTCCTGTTGGGTTATTTTTATTGTGCACTACGTATAACAATGTGTGGTCTAAATCTTCTAGCAAGGGAGCTATTTTCTGGCGACTTTTTCAGGGGAAATTGCTACGGTCTCATTCATTCTAAAGGAATTGGTTAATAATTTCGATTGCTCAAACTTGGTGATAAACGTATTTTCATCTTCCTTTTTGAATAGTTGGCATGCAGGAAAACAGGGGATAGTATTTTGCCATTTCTAGTTTTCCTTCGCCAGAAATTTGAAGCTGTATTCGACTTAGGTCTGTTTATTACTTGAGTCAAATTTGATTGAAGAAAAAAAAAACAAAAGACAAGCTAAATAGTCTAGGGTTATGCAATTCATTTCGCAATTCAGTGCTTATCTGTGAGCAAGATTTGGTGCTTATCTAAAAAGAATGCGATGTTTCCTCTGATTACTTTAGAATGTCTCTGCATGTTTTGATTTCAATTTCATGTTTCCTTAATAGTGTTCCGTGGAAACACTTAATGTGTTTGATTTTACGTGATGTCTAGAAGTTCAGAAGGAGGACAGAGTTCTTGAGTTCCTGGGCTCCATGCATGATAGGAGTGATGAAACTTCAGTCTGCTCTCTTGAAGAGAAGGAAGAAGTAATGAAACTGTATGAATCACCAGAATTGGGAAATGCTTTGAGCAAAGAAAAGTATAACTTGCGCAAAAGTTTGGCATGGGATAATGCCTTCTTCACGAGTGCTGGTCTGCCATCATTTTCTGTGCATTTCGTTCTTTATTTTCTCTTAACACATAGTTGACGTTTCTCTTTGTTATCAGGTGTTCTGGACCCTGAAGAGTTGTCTAGCATAATTGAAGGCAACAAGAAGGGTGTAAGACATAGATTATCTGGAATTCAAGAGGATACACACAAGTCAGTTGAATCAGTAACTACATTAGGAAGTGATAATTTGACAATAGAAAGTCTTGAGGCTGATTTATTCGAGGAC